TGTGAAAGCAACACAACTTGTTTTGCAGTTCCAAGGGCTAAAAGTCTGAAACCAGAGTGCAACTTCCTTCCCAGTTCTCTGACGAAGATTCTCGTGCTCCTGCTTCTGGAGAGGCAAGACGCCTGAGTTCACAAACTGAGCCTTATCTCTGCTTCCATCATGAGGCTATGTTGCTCCCCCACTCCCCACCCCTGCTTTTTTCTTTTTTGGAGACAGGGTTTTTTCTTTGTAGCCCAAGCTGTCCTGGAACTCCTCTGTAGACCAGGCTGGCCTTGAAATTGGAGATCCTCCTGTCTCTACCTCCCTAGTGCTAAGATTAAAGGTGTGCCCAGCTATCCCTCTTGTAAGAACAGATAGCCTACTGGATTTATGACTTACTCAGAATGACCTCTCTATCAAGACCAGTTGCATTTATAGGTTCCAGGTGGCCATAAATTGGTGGGACCCAATATTCAGTCCAGTACACCACTGTTGACCATGACATAGATTCTACTGAAACTGAGATTGTGAAAACTTTGAAAGTTGGACAAATGCATTTTTTTGCTTTATATGGCCATGGGACTTTGTGGGTCAGGGAGTAGAATGTGATTTGAATGATAAATGTCCCCTGGTTTATAACCTTTGAATGCTTGGTCCTCAGTTCATGGCTGTTTAGGGAGGCTTAGTTTTTATGGCCTGCTGTAGGAAGCATGTCACTGGAAGCAGATTTTGTGAACTTCAAAGACTTGTGGCATGTTTGCTGTTTCCTACTTATGGTTCTGAGATGTGAACTCAACTGCTCCTGCCACCATGCCTGGTGCTTGCTGCCACGTTTCCCCCCTCTGATAGTGATGATTTCATCCCCCTGGGAACTTTAAATCCAAACAAATCCACAAGTTGGCCTTGGTCACTGTTTTATAACAGCAATAGGGATATAACTAAAACAGCATTGTTTACGGTAGGATGTCTAATCCCCATTAGATCAACTACAGGAAGCCATAGGAACACTTCCACAACTCCAGATTCCTAGGGTTGTAGTTGGACTTCTGAGTGTGCAATAGCCCAGTACTCCAAGGTCTCTGTGTAGCCAATGTGTGTGAGGAAAACAACCTTGACTTGCCAGGGAAGTCAAAGAATTCCTGGGCAATGTATTTCAGGGAGCCAAGCAAGACCCTGCTGGCTTCTTTTCTAAATCAGGCTGATTGGCCGTGATCCAATCTCAGCCTTTGGAGAGCTGGGATCACACACACTTTGGCTAGCTGTTTGTGGAAGTCCCATCTTTTATTATACAGAAATTCTAGGAGAATGATTAATACCAATAGGCAACTTCTATGCTTTGCTTGCTATATGTCAAATAAGCAAGTTTTCTAAGTGTTCCTGTGGTTTCCTTTAGGTAATCTCAAAACGGATGCACTGGGTGGGTGGGTACATGCTCAGACTTTCCAACTGGCTGAGGTTAGTTCAACTCAGACATCTATGTATGTGTACCTGAGTGTACTTATGTGCACCATGTGGATGTGGGTGCTCATGGAAGGCAGAAGGGGAATTGAAACTCAAGTTTCAGGAGTTTGTAAGCCACCTAGTATGAATTCTGGAAACCGAACTCAGGGCCTCTGCAAGAGCATCAAACACTATCAATCACTTGGCAAAACTGCCCGGTTCCTACTTTATCAGACACAATAAAGCCGTCCTCTATGTATTTCAGTGGTGTTGGGGATGATTCAAGGCCTGACGTGGTTAGGAAGAGTGGCACCCCTGAGCTTTCATTCCTAACTTGTCCTGGCCTTCGTAAGCATCTAAGATCCTGGAGAAACTGCCCGATGGCCGTGCTCTGTAGTTGGGCTTTTATCTTAAGAGACCAGACAAAGGATAGGCTTCTGCACCACACACCCCCTCCACACTGCAGTCTGTCACCCTCCTGATTGCAGAGACTTTAAACTCAGGCAAACTGTGGAAAAAGGACACTCCTCCAACCTAAAACCTTCCTGAAGTGCACCCTGAGGACACACACACTACAAACAACCAAACTCGGAGCTAAGCAAGTGAGTGTAATGGTGTTCCCGCTTTCTATTAGCATTATAGAATCTCCACTTTAGATTCCAACAGGTACACATCCCACCCCGCAGCTATAGAAGCAATGCTAAAATAAAACAGCCTGTCTCCATTAAGAATCAAGCCCTGGAGCTGGAGAGATGGCTCAATGGTTAAGGTCCTGAATTTAATTCCCAGCAACACAACTATCTATAATAGGATCCGATGACCTCATTTGGTGTTGCAGGTCTACACGAAGACACAGCACTTATTTACACAAAATACATAAATCTTTAAACAAAACCCTAAGACCTGGGAATCTTTAATATATTTGAATTCCTACAACCAATAAGCTAATAAATTAGCACTAGCCCACCAGGGCACCCAGGTTGCTGACATAGGCAACTTTACAAAATAGCAAGGTTGTGTGGAAAGTATTCACATGTTTTAGTGACGTTAAGTGACTTAATGAAGCAATCTAGACTGTAACTGAGATACAGAGGGATATTTTATCTAGAGAAAAACACAAGACCAAGTTTATTTCATACAATGTTATTCACACATTTCATTTCTAATTTATACATAATATACAAAGAAGTGAAGATAACATTTCATATGAACCAATAAGAGCCAGGACTTAGACAAACTGGTCCAGAAACAATCTATACCAAAAGGAGACACTCAAGAGTAAGCCTAAGCAGTTTCTGCCCAATCAGATTTATTCTGAAAAGTCAATTTTTCTAAAGTTCCATGCCAACATACTAGAAGGTGGAATCAGGGTGGGCACCAAAACTGGCAGATCATAAAATTTCTACACAAACAGGTATTTTTCTAGAATATGCCTAAAAGTATCAGAACTGGGTTGTCAGCACTGGGAAGTATGAATCAGGACTGCTAGAGGAGGATTCAGTTCCAAGTCACTTTCTCTAGGATTTGCCACTTTCTGAACTGAGTGACAGCTGCCTGAGCATACAAAAGCAAGGGTGGACGGGAACCAGGAGGGGCTGCTAGTTTTGAATACTGGCAGCTTTGACCCTAAAACCACTGGCTGATGCAGGCAAGTTATGTTCAACCCAGAGCCAAGATACTCAGGCTGGCAAAACAAAATGGAAAAGGAGGGAGAGTGCCACTCTACATGGGAGAAAACTGTGACAGGGACATGCTGATGAACCAGTGTGACTGAGAGTGGTGACAAGGAATGTTGGGTTAGAAAGCTAGAATAACTCAACATCAACATGAAAGACTCCTGGCACCCCAAACTTCATGCCAAATTTTAAGGTTCATGATATGAGTAACAAAAGAATAGAACTTTATACTCAATATTGTGCTCTGATTGCTTTTGTTCTGCAGACCTCTAGAAAAAAAAATCCCTTCTACAAATTATCTGACAGAAATAGCATGTTCATTTCAGTTTTTAGCACTGAACATAAGAGGGTCAACATAAATGTTCATACAAAATACTGACTTCAACAAAATACAAAGCACTTTCTTTATCTTTCAGAAACTGAATATACAAAGCAATTTTTTCCAAAATATTTTCATAGGCAAAGGATTAAAAACGATTTTAATTATACACATATGGTCACAATTTTGCCTTAGAAAGATTGTTGGGAAATGTACATAAGGCCGCTTGTAAATGTACATCATGTTACTGTTATAATGTCTTATGTCCAGAGGAAAAAATGTTATCATACAGATTTGCTCTTACTTGGGAGTAGGCTATTCAAAAATACAGTACTCTTCTGTACAAAGAAAAAAGTCACATCACATTTAAGATGGAAAAAGCATTGGCCTCTGTGGTAATCAAATCTCAGTCCAATACTTTCTATTTACTATGCACAATACCCTGACTTCAGGTGAAAGTGATCCAGATCCTAGCATGTCCACTATCAACAGAGTCAACAACTATGTTATAAAACAAAATGTTTTCCACAATAATAAAAAGAAAGTTGGTTCATACTTCTGAAACCATATAAAGATAAAAAATTTTTTAAAAATCACTCTCAATTCGGAGAAATAAATTTACATTATACAACACTATATTGCCAGGTTAAAGAGGGCAGGGATGTCAATGTACACTAAATGCAAATGTTTCCCAAAGAGATAAAACAGATTCCATTTACAGCATGAAGGTTTACAAATGTACACCTGTACAACCAAGGAAAGTTACTACGAAATTAGCAAGGCTTTCATAACAAATACTGAAACAATATCTGCTTTCAAATTGTAAACTTACATCTACCCCTACACACACAATGTGTTTATTTATAGGAAGAAAAAAAAAGCTCTCTGAATATGCAATCATGCTAAATGCTGAGCTATCAGTTCACTTCTCAGTGGCCTCTCTCACCTCTATGAGGTTCCTATTTATGTACTACTATGAAAACGCAGAATAAACCAACACTTCCTCAACAGTCTTTAATTCTATAATTAGAACAAAATACAAACCTCCATTCGTTCTCGTTGCAAACCAAACTGAAAAGTTAGTGTGAAATTTAACTTTTCATTCAGTGCAAACTCAACTGAATGGAAGTACCACCATGATTTTTTTTCTAATTCATTACAATAAGTATATACAATTCTTCTGTACATTGCCATGGACATTATAGGGCAGTAATTTTATTAAAACCACATCCACTGTAAATAATGTTATCTCAAATCATTTTATTCTTGTCTGTTTTTCTGAGTTTTTCTTTGCATGATAGTTTGTGAATTACCAAAATACAACTTAACTTTCTTTTTAAAATATTAATAATATTTATGCAGTTGATTGTTAATCTGTTATAAAAGGCTTCACATAAAGGAAAAAAATAAGAACTATAATTCTATGTACATCTATATAAACCTGTTGTGCTATGGGGTTGTAGACCTACCAGACTGCAAGCCAGTTTATTAAAATACTGTACTTTTCCCTTTAAAAACTATTTTTTTTGTGACTTTACAAGGTATAAATTTACAAAATATGTGACAACTTTTTTTCCTTTTTATGCTTCTTTTTTTTTGGGGGGGTGGGGGTGGGGAGGAGGATACAGTTACATCATATACAGGCATTCTGTGCTTCACCAGAAATCCAATCTGATAGGTCTCCACTCAGGCTTGAATATAATTCATAATTTATCACCCCACCCCCTAAATACACACAAGAACCTTAAAAATCTACAAATGGATGAAGAAAGTCAATAAATAGTTTTGCTTAAAAAAAATCAAAGATTCATAGTTGAATTGTGTTTTGATAATTCACAAAGAAAACCCATTCTTTAAACATGGTTGAATCATCTCCTTTCTCTTAAAGCATTCCATTTGGCGGTCCTCCGATAGGCCCTAGATCTGGGCTGTTTTTCAAATAGTATTTTTCCAACTTGGCCAGTATATGCTTCCCATATGTGTATTTGCGAAGAGTAGTAATATGAGGTCGAATCTGAAAAACAATCAATCAATCTTGTGAAAAAACAAAACAAAACAAAAAAACCCCAAAAACCCAAGTTACTATAGTTTCTGTTTTTAATTCGTATGTGTGTGGTTTGGACAGGCCAGTTCAGTATGGAGGTCAGAGGACAACTTCTACTATGTGTGCCCTGGGGATTGAACTCAACTAGGTCTTCGGGCTTGGTGGCAAGTACTTTTACCTACTGAGCCATCTTGCCTCGTTTATGATTTAAAATAGCTCCCTCAAGTCTGGATCATCATTCTGCTAAAAATTACAAAGCTACTTAGGTACAAAACCAATTCTGAAACACAACTTTCTCAAAAATGCTTAAAGAGGCAACATTTTTTTTTTGTTCAATAAATAACAAGCCACTGCTGTGTCACATGCCAACAAAGGAAGCCCCCAATATAAACATATACTGCCCCCTTTCCAGCTAGATGTGCAGTGACTACAGTAACTGTCACAGAACAGACTAGTAAAAGGCAACTCTTCTCACAGGGACACACAACTTATAAGATTCCTGAATACAACCGGGCAATATCTAGGAAGTCATCCTACAAAATAATTTTTCAAGGACCTTTATAGAACGCACTATTTATATGGTTAAAAATACTATGTATACTATTGGCTCAGTAAGTACTATAAATTAAAAATAAGGTTAAAATCTTTAGGAGAGTCAAAAAATAAAAAGACACAACAATTTGAAGGATGAATTTTTAAAAACTCAGTGCTGTAATTATGAGCTGCTAGAAGGTGGTGATGGCGCACGCCTTTAATCCCAGCACTGGGAGGCAGAGGCAGGGCGGATCTCTGAGTTCCAGGCCAGCCTGCTCTACAGAGCAAGTTCTAGGACAGGCCCCAAAGCTACAGAGAAACCCCTTAAGAGTTGGTGTTTGTTAACTGCCACACACCAGCAATGGCTCTGATACTATGCATGGCATGAGGGGATCTTGAGAATATTTTTTTTTATTTTTAATTTTTTTGGTTTTTTGAGACAGGGTTTCTCTGTAGCTTTGGTGCCTGTCCTGGAACTAGCTCTCGTAGACTAGGATGGCCTCGAACTCCCCAGAGATCCGCCTGCCTCTGCCTCCCGTGCGCCACCACTGCCCGGCGAGAATATTTTCTCTTGATAAAGGGAAAAGGTTCAAAAGGGGACAGATGTTCCATGTTTTCTAAAGCAATCAATCCAGAAAGAGCATTAACACCCCCCCCCCCCCACAACCCCAGTTTTGTTAGTTAATGTACTGAAACAAAATCTTGGCAAGTTATGTAGAAAAGCATCAAACTTTCAATCCTTCCATACTGGCCTCCTAACTAGGAATTATAGGCTTGGATCTCTTGAGGCCAGCTTTAGAGTTCTTTTTGATACTACATTTTTATGGAAATTAATGATTTTTTTAAAAATTACATTTATGGGCTGGAGAAAAGTCTTACTGGTTAAGAGCACTTGTTCTTTTAATGAAGTGGGTTTGAAACCCAGCACTTACATGGCATCTCATAAACACCTATAATTCCAGTTCCAAGGGGTTCGGTGCCCTCCATGGGCACCAGGTACACATGTAGTGTGTGTGTGTGTGTGTATGTATGTGTATATATATACATACATACACACACACAAAACACACATATGCGGCAACACTCATTAAAATAAATGAATCTAAAACACAACAACAAAACTCCAAACAAAAATTACACCTTGTGTGCAAGCACATGTGCATCATGACATTCAGGCAGGACAATCTGCATGACTCAATTTTCTCCTTCCGTTACGTTTGGACCCCAGAGATGCAATACAGTTCAAACGATGTGGCAGCAAACAACTCTACCGTACAAGCCATTTTGCCAGCAGAATTGGTGATTTTAAAGAATCATTAGAGTCAAGAGAGGAAACAGCTTGAAGCGTAATGACTAAAATAAAGGAAAGATTTCTTTTAAAGGGATTAAACTGTGTGTATGTATGTGTGCATATAGGTACCCACTGAGGTCAGAGGAGGGTACCAGAGACCCTAGAATTAGGAGTTATAGGTGCTTGTGAGCCACCAAGAGGGTGTTGGGAATTGCAAAGATTCTCTAAAAGAGCAGCCCACTTATTGGGAAAATCTAATACCATTAAAGAAAACAACTCAGCATTCAACCAATGAACTACTTACTGCAAATCGAATAAAACTGAACAAGACAGGGGAGGAAGACTAACGTTAAACCTAACAGCTGAGAAATGAATGTGATTTTACAGTGTCAACTAAGCTGCCCATGTGCTTTAAATGTTGTCTATTGTGGAGAAATAAACCCTACAAAAGTGTGTATGCAGCCACAGGTCACACAGAGGGTGTGGTCTCATGGAGCTGTGCACCAGTTACCTTGTGCATGATTATCTTCCTCTGAGCAGGCTCAGCCATATCAATCATCTTCTGAACCACGTAATTGGCATATTGATCCTTCATCATGGTGTATAAGGCACTGTGAGGACCATCATTCTGACAGCAAACCTCGTCAATCAGTAAAGCTCTCTCAGCACGGGAGGCATGAGTAACACACTTTTCTACTACATTGCTAAAAATTAAAAGCACACACAGAGAAACTTTGTTATGTCATTTCTTTATAGTCAAATAGTCTTGACTTTCCAATTTGTTCCAATGTACTAGAAAAGAGAAGACAAGATAAAATTTCCTGGTTTGTAATTACTTTTAAAACAGAAATGGTTGCTGGTGGTGGTGGCCCACACCTTTAATCCCAGCACTCAGGAGACAGAGGCAGGTGGATCTCTGAGTTCGAGGACACCCTGGACTACAAGAGCTAGTTCCAGGACAGACTCCAAAGCCACAAAGAAACCCTGTCTCAAAAAACCAAAAGAAATGGTATCACAGAATAGCCTACAAATTTGACAACCACAAATTTAACTAAAAATTTGTATAGAAAAGAGCTGGAAAAACTGACTGTTGTAATACCTGGCAAATTTGTGTTGACTCAGGGATAACACCTTTCCTCTGATTTCAGAAACAATTTTGCTCTTGTCTTCAGGTCGACCATGTTCCAGTACATGCTGAATAACGTAATTGCCATACTGATCCTGTAACACATTTAAAAATTACTTTCCATCATTAAGAATTGAGAGGATACAGTAAGCTTTGCCTCCTCATTTTTATACTTTTAACTACAAATGACATCTCTCAAAAAATATTCAAAATACACAAACATTTCAAATTCTTAGGTGACATATACCTGTACCAACTGTTCTGTGTGTTGGTGAAGCTCTTCTAAGATGGGTAAGGTCTGCTCTGCAGTGCAGTGCTCTAGGATACGCTGAATGACTCTGCAGCCATAAGGATGGGTTGAAAGCACAAACACCTTGAAATAAATAAAAGAAGGAAATGCACATATCCTGTTATTTCTCAATCACTGTATCAGATTGACAAGATAGATGCTAACACCTAGCCAAGTGGTGGATCCATAGCTAACACAATTACAGCATCAGCATTCTCCAGCATGGAGAATATCTGTATATGGAGGTCAGAGGACAATTTGGAGGAATCTGTTTTTTCATTCACCATGTGGAATCAGGGGAACAAAATTCGGATCATCAAGCGTGACAGCATTTCCTTTTGATTTGCTGAGCTTCCTAGACAGCCTGAAGATAATTTTGATTTAAAAAAAAAAAAATCTAATGGGTAAGACCTGGTACTAGTTGCTAGTTATTTTGCCTGTGTCAATATAGTTTCAAGACGTTTCCCTGCTCTTCCATCAATTACTATGTTTAATGAAAGTATCCAGTATAATATTGTACTCAAAAGAATGCTAAATTCACATCATAAAATGCTCTGCTAAGGAAAAGAATGCAAAAAAAAATCAATCTTACTTGTCCTTTGAATGCATCAATGATGAACTGCAGTGACTGCGGCTGAACACATTCAATACATTTTTGTACAACATGGTTTCCGTTCTGATCTTTCACACATTTGAGCACATGACCATCTAGCTCCTTTACCATTTCACTCTGCAAGAGTCATTTAGATAATTATTTTATCCAGAAAACCCAATGGAGCTAAAAATATTCATGAAGAACAAAGTTAAAAATAACGAAGAACAAAACATGCTAAAATTTTTTAATACAAAAATTTAGAAACCACCCAAAATACAAATTAGTAAAGCAAATCACAGATAGTAATGTTAATGATATATGCTGAAATAACTCGGTGACAATGAACCTGTCATATTTAAATTACAATTTTCACTGTGTACATGGCCCTGCATTATCTTATATAACAGGTATCTAATACAACCCCCCCTACCCCCCAAGACAGGGTTTCTCTGTGTAGCCTTGGCTGTTCCTAAAGCTTACTCTATAGACCAGGCTAGCCAGATTCACCTGCTTCTGCCTCCAAGTGCTGGAATTAAAGGTGTGTGACATCAGCACCCAGCCTAATAGACACTTTTAAAGCTCTTATTTCTATGACCTACTTAGCATCTGCATCCGTTGGTACTAAGGAGTTATCACTGATGTTCACATGAGTTTATAAAAATGCATAAAACAGTATAACATGGGATGTTAGGTTATCTATCTGTATTTCGCTTATTATCAATAATTGTCATTAATGATGGACATTTTTCTTCTTGTCTAATGCTTATAAAACTAATAACATTTTACTATGATTTGTATGTCTGATTAGAATAGAAAATATTACTGCTAAGAAATGGATCCACATAATCTAAAGGTATTTAAAGAATCTCAACTATATTCCAACACAATTATGAAGGAATCAGGTTAAGCCAACCTACAACATGAATTTATGTCTAAACTAAAACAGACTGAATTACAAAATACAATTAACCTAAAAATTCCAAAATTAAAAAAGGTTCTATTCTTTATTAACTAGTCCTCATTAAAACAGTATTGGGCCCGGGCTGGAGAAATGGCTCAGTGGTAAGAACACTGGCTGTTCTTGAGGACCTGAGTTCAATTCCCAGCACCCACACAGCAGTTCACAACTGTCTGTAACGTCAGTTCCAGGAGATCTGCCATCATCATACAGACATGCATGCAGGCAAAACACCAAAACATATAGAATAAAGATAAATAGTTTTTTAAAAAAAAACAGTATTAGTCCCTTTTATTTCCAAATACCCAAGGCACAGCTACTGAAAGACTATGCTACCATTGACACCTATGGCAGAGAAGTTCTTTGAATAATTAAATCTGTTGATTTTCTCTACTGTGCCATATTTTAATGAATCTAAAACTACAAAATTTCTTCCACAGGAATAATGGGGAGTTTTCCAGATTTTCAATCCTGTAACTAAAGTACACACACACACACACCACACTTACCCATTTACCCACCTCCTTCCTCCTTGCTGGCTAGTTTTATATCAACCTGACACAAATTAGAATCATTTTGGAAGAGGGAACCTCAATTGAGAAAATGCCTCTACCAAATTGACCTGTGGAAAAGTCTGTGGTTCATTTTCTTAATTAGTTATCAATGTGGAAGGGCCCAGATCCCTGTGTTGGTGTCAACCCTGGGCTGGTGGCCCTGGGTTGGTACTATAAGAAAACAAGCTTAGTAAGCCATGAAGAGCAAATCAGTAAGAAGCACCCTTCTCCACGGCCTCTCCATCAGCTCCTGCTTCCAGGTCCTGCCCTCACTTTCCTCGTGTGAGCTGAAATAAACACTTTCATCCCTGAGTTGATTTTGGCCATGGTGTTTTATCACAGACATAGAAATGCTAAGTCATCCTCTTCCTTTTGTTTTCAAACCTCTAGAATTTATTTTATTGTCTAAGTCAAAAATGGCTTCCTAAATTATTAAGATGAAGTTAAGAAAAAAGCTATTCTGTTCACTGATACTGTCATGCTATATAAACAAATAAAATCCCACACTGAAAGTCAAGTAAATTTTTTTTTTCTAAATTTCTAAGTCTATCTGCGTGAGATTATGCCATTTGTGCTTGGTTCTGAACTGAACTCTGGTCCTTTAATAGAGCAGCATGTGTTCTTTCCAGCCTCAAAGAAGTCAATCTTGTTTAAAGGAATATTAAGTTTCTTCACTGAATAGACTTAGGGAAAAAAAGTATATACACACATGTATGTATATACTAACTAGAATGAGACTGTTGTTTGTTTAGAATTCTTAAAATAGAAATATTAAGCAGACCCACATAAAAATTGGGAGCAGTGAAATGCTTGCTGAAACTACAGATAATAACAAGGTAAGCGAACGCAAAGACACATCGCTGGGCACTCTATCTGGCAAACTCCATGGAATGGGTAAGATTTTATGAAAAGATCTTAAGTCTCCTGGTAGAAATCTTTAGGATATTACTTTCTTCAAGATTATAAGATAAAAAGAAATTTAACTTTAAATTAAGTATTACAAAACATATATCTCAACTTACAATTACCTGCTGATCAGAAGAAATAGACTCTAATGCTTTCTGTATAACACGGCAGCCATACATCTGCAAGGCTAATGGTAGAACATGACCACGAATACGAGTAGCCAGGGCTAATTTCTGATCCAAACTTCCGAACTGAAAGACAGTAAGAAATGAGCATGAGACTACTTTGGTACCTATAGTAAAATCCAAGAATCCAGAAACACTTGTAGTAGTTACCTTTTGGGGAGTGTTGAGTCACATTAAAATTTCCTTGTTATTATCTTGACACCATCACTCCCACCAGACAAGGTCACACTATGTAGCCCTGTCTGGCCTGAAACATTCACCTGTCTCTGCCTCCTGAGTGCTGGAAGTATGTGTGCAACCTAAGTTATATGCAATAATGCCTGGCTTATCTTACTCTTTTTAAAATTCAATTATTTTTTAAAATGAGTATGTGTGTGCCCTCAAAAGAAGTGGTTGTGTGAGCTGGGCGGTGGTGGCACACACCTTTAATCCCAGCACTTGGGAGGCAGAGGCAGGCGGATCTCTGTGAGTTCGAGGCCAGCCTGGTCTACAAGAGCTAGTTCCAGGACACGTTCCAAAGCTAGAAAAACCCTGTCTCAAAAGAAAGAAAAAACCAAAAAACAAACAAAAAGTGGGTTTGAGCCTTACAATATGGGTGCTAGGCGAACAACAAGCACTCTGAACCATTGAGCCATCTGTCTAGTCCCACTATGGCCTTTTTGAGACGGTCTGTGTCACTAAACCTACACACTGTTGGTTTAGGCAGAGAGCCTCACCAAAACGCCAAAGATCCTGTTCTCTGGTTCCTCAGTGCTGGGATTACAGATTCTTACCACCATGACTAGCTACTTATATGGGGCGTTTGGGGTCCAAATTCAGGTCTTTTTTGTTTGTGGGAGAAGGGGTTCAAGACAGGATTTCTTTGTGTACAGATCTACCCGCCTCTGCTTCTGGAGTGGTGGATTAAAGGCATGTGCCATCATGCCCAGCTTCCAAATTCAGGTCTTTATACATACACGACAAGCCCTGGACATATGAGCCCAGTTTTAAGATTGAAAATGACCGTTGCCCAACTTTAACAAAACAGAATAATCATACAAAATAACAAAATAAATATTCTTACCTCAAAAAACTTCTGTATAACATAGTTTCCAAAAACATCTGTCATTAACTGATAGGCTGCCTGTAGAATCTCATTAAATACCATCTGTCGCTCAGCTGGAGTAGCTCTCTCTAGCTTTTGCTGTATGAATCTATAAGGGAAAAATTTAAATCACAAGATGAAAACAATCTTTCTAAAATCCCCTGCGTACTCAAACTTGTACGCGTGTGCAAGTAGAAAAGGATCTTGTGATAGACCCAGGGTGCCCTAAAAGTCACTACGTAGTGCAGCCTCAGGGACATGCCACTTCAGTTAATATAATTAAAATGCTTCTTTCATCTCCACTGAGGGGAGGGAATGGGAAGGGAGGGGAGTGAAAAAAAGGATGGAAGTCTTACCATGTAGCCCAGGGAGATAAACACTTAGATTCCTTTCTTATTAAAGGCAGCAGTGTTCAACAGAAACCGTCGGAAGTGTGAGGAACCATAACCACCTACCTGGAGCCATGCTGGTCTTGAGAAAACTCGACTATATGTCCAATCAGGTCTCTGAGCTGAAGGTTGGGGAAGCGGTTGTTCCTGAAATCTTCCAATAACCTACTGCGGCCGGAGGGCATGATATCAGATCTATTATAGCGGAGCCGAGAAGGAGGAAAGAGCTGGCTGCTGGAGCTAAATAGACTGGAAGTGCTTGAAGCACTTCGGTATTTTGCTTCTGCTCCAGGTGCTGCAGAGATATACCGACCACTACCATTTGTCAGTCCTCCTACAACAAAGCAGCTGTGGTCAGCAAATATTTCTGACAAGTTATTTCACAAATAAGTTACAATTTAAATTGAGCCAATAAGCTCTAACAAAGCTTTCAATTATATTAAAAAGCATGTTATAATTAGCTAGTAAAACTCAAATCTAGAGCCATGGAAATTTGCAGTCTCAGGATGTAGCTCAGTGGTAGAGAGTTTGCCTAGCATACTCAAGGTCCTGGATTCTATCACCAACACCACAGGAAAAAAAGATTCATTTACAGTATAAAGGAATAACATTGAGTGTTAAATCTGTACTTTTGGGAAACATATTAAAAATATATTGTCAAATATACTTCAATGTAAAAACAAGTCTTTTTAGTCAATTTACTGATGTCTGAAACTTTAAATAAACCATAGCAGAAATATTTTAAAACTTGAAAATGTTTTATTAAAAATATTTTCCATAAAATGCTATTACCTTGTAGATACAGAATAATAATAATTAGCAGTTATTCCTAGAGCCATAACCACAACCCTCCAACTTATATTTATTCCATACAAGAAAATAAAAGGCAGTAACAGAAACAAACTTTCTATTATGCATCACAACAGCTAAAATACTTGACAGTGTCCTTTTAAAGTAGAAAAATGTAAAGACAACTATAAAGTGCAGATTTAGTAGTTATAAAAACAATATCCACCACCAGCTTTCTCTTAAACCAACTGTACAGACAGCAACGCTACATAGTCAGTCCAGGCCACGGAACAATGATGACCCCAATACCAGTGGAAAGTCAGAGATGTTACAACCCAAAAAGCACGAGAAGGCCTGGAAGCAGTAAGTTAACACTGCAGTGTTAACTGCACTCTTTCCCCTCTGCCTCTACCATTCATCTACTCAACATAATTTTCTTTCTGTGAACTTCACACTTTACGGTATATTAAACACTTCTCTAAAATCATTCACCCTTTGTTAAGTATCTTCAAACTATACCAAACTACATACTAGATACCTGATACATACTTACTAAATGACAACTAGAAATCTTAGGAGAAAATGTTAAAAGTATATACATGCATGTGGTTGCATGACTGCCTCAGAGGACAAACACCAAAGCCCCCCTCCCCCCAGAGCAGCAGTTCTCAACTGGTAGACCTTACCCCCTTGGGGGGGGTATCACCTATTAGATATTCTGCATATCAGATATTTACACCATGATTCACAACAGTAGCAAAATTAAAGCTACAAAGTAGCTAAGAAAATAACTTTATGGCTGGTAGTCACCACAACGTGAAAAACTGAATTGCAGCGTTAGGAATGTCTCCCGAGAACCACTGCTGAAGAGCTGGAATTACAGGTAGGCAGGCACATGCCGCTCAAAGCTAATCCTGGGAAGCCAATTTGGGTCCTCTACAAGAAGTATGTGTTAACTGCTGAGCCATCTTTCCAGCTTATAGACATTTTATGTGACATACAGCCCCTAAAGTTTCTTTCTACAACAATCCCATTTAAAGTAAATAATTTAACCAAATTCTGTTTCAGCTTTATCTAATTATCTCAATAGTCACAATTAAAATACTCAGTGTGTGACAAAGTTCGGTGCTTCAATTCTGTTCAGATTTTATCACTACTGTCAACCCTCTGGTTTTCAATATTTGTTCTTATGAATGATTGATTGCCAGCACATACATTTATTTATTTATTTATTTATTTATTTATTTATTTATTTATTTAACATTTGGGGTGGGACGGGGTGCTTGTGTAGAGGTTAGAGGACAGAAGTCACTACTCTCCTTCCACTATGTGGATTCTGGGGCTCAAACTCAAGTCAGTCCTCAAACCTGGTAGCAAGCACCTTTACCTACTAAGCCATCCCAAAGGCTTACGTCATTTTACTTTTGAGATAGGGTCACACGCATTCCAGACCTGCCTTGACTTTGCTATATGGTCAAGGAGTACCTTGAAATCTTCCCGATCCTCTTGCTTTCACTTCTTAAGAAAAAAAACTACCACACCTGTTTATGTGGTAATGGAAGCAAATCCAAGACTTTGCGTATGCCAACTGATCCACACATGTTCCAGGCAGTTTGTTCTTTAATAATGCAGTTAGCGTGACTTTTAAAACACTATACTCACTACTTACACTCTCTAATTGTACTCTAATACACACACTCTTGTACCTCACTATTTGTACCACTGCTTATCTTTATTGTTAGTGGGGTCTAAACTTACCCTTAATGCACTTAATAATAACTGCTAACACCAAATTCCTAAGGTGATTTAATGTGACAATACCTATTTTATGCTACCAACACTGATCAGTAATATCTCTGTATTAGACATTCCTTGATCCTATTCTATTTGCTGCCCAAAGCCAAGTCCCGATATGAACTTCATTTAATCAATAATGCTAAATCAATTAGAGTTTGAAAAGACACTATTTTTAGATGATGAAGGGTGGTAAAATTCTAAAATTTAGAGAATCTAAAACTGTCCAGTAAGCTCTACCCCCCACTATTTCAAAATTATTTTAGAACATGCAAACAAATCAGTCATTCTTATTTATACTTCTGCTGCCACTGATTCTGAACCAGTGTGCTCCACACCTGGTATGTGAGAGGGTGACTCACTAGTTTTAAAACAACTGTCTGAGTATGTGTGTAGAACAAGCAGACCAGTACTATCATTTCGGTCTGCGGTCTTACAGTAAAGTGACAAGCAGCTAGTCAAGAGTATGCTGCCTTCATATTCATTCATGATAACGTAATAAAAGAGAAACTTAGAATTTTTTTAGGTTTTTATTAATTTTTCTGATAACTCTAAAGATTCTGAATTCTTCCATACTAAATACCAGCAAATAAAAACACTTAAACTGGGTATGGTGATACATGGATCTTTCTGAGTTCCAGAGCAGCTAAGGCTACAATAGTGGGACACTGTCTCAACAAACAAAACATTAAAATGTCGAAATATAACAATGTAGCAACAAAGCAAAACATATCTGACTAGCTTCAATTACAATTCCACCTCCCACCCAATCTAGAACACTAATTCCTAATCTGCCTTCAGACTTGTCTCTCTCTACCATCTCTTTTCCTTGTTTTAAAACACTGTGTGCATGCATGCAATGTGTTCAGGTGCAGGTCAGAGGACAACTCTGGGCATTTTCTTTCATCTTCTTCGCATCCTAGAAACTGAAATCTAGTCACTAGGCTTGTTCCATGTTAACCACCTTTACCTGCTGAGTCATCTCACTGGCCAATCTTTCCTTCCTTGTGAAGTTTTAAGTAGCTTCCGTGGAGCTCTTACTATATAGCTATAGCTGAGGATAACTTTGAAACTCCTGTTCTATCTCTCAAATACTGGGATTAGAGGTGTGCCTATTCTGTATTTGTTACCCTAATGTGCTTAAAAATAACCTGAAAAATATTACAAAATATTCTATGTTAAACGGATATAACATAAAATTTTAAATAACATTTCATTATCTCGTGTTTCCCCAAAAGTCATTATTAGAATGTTTTAAGGCAAACATTTACTAGAATCCATTTTACCACATTCTATCTCCCATCCATTCTCTGACTGGTTAAGACTGATTCTGCATTGGGAAATCAGGGTTGAATAGTGCACCTGTCCTGCAAAACATTTTCAGGTTTCAAGCTCTGACACCTGTTTCTGACTACAGAAATAGACCTCTGTGGACTTAAGTAAAAATGAGGTCATACTGGGATACAATGGGTTCTAGTCCAAGAGCTAACATCCTTTAAGAAGGAGACCTTAAGACAGTGTTTTTCAACCTGTGGGTCACGGCCCCTTTCACAAGGGTCACCTGAGATCATCAGAAAACAGATATTCACATTACGATTTCTAACAGTAGCAAAATTACAATTATGAAATAGGAACGAAAACAATTTTACGGTTTGGTTACCACAACATGAGGAACTGTATTAAAGAGTCACCACATTAGGAAGGTTGAGAACCATTGCCACAAGAGACTCTGATGGCGAAAGCCATGTGTTTTGACTTGATGGTGGCAGATGAGTTTTGCATCTTCAAGCCACAGAAAAGGGAAAACTGACATCAACTACCAGAACCACAAAGAGGGTAAAGAAAAGTTACCTACAGAACCTTCAGAGTATGACCAAATCTACACATTTATTTTAAACTCCAAATCTTCAGAAATATAGAATATATTCCTGTTACCTGGCTGTCCATCCACTGATAAGAATACTGAGTACTAGTATACATAGAGTGCATGTACCTCAGTGTGAATGATAAAAGAACAATAAAGCATTAAAATTAGGGTATTTCCCAGATTAATGACTCAAATGTTATTGTTTTTCACTTTTTCCTTATATTTAAAAACTTTGTGTGTTTACATACTAAAGTCCACATCTTTCTCTTCATTGGCAACAATGTTTTGATTCATTTTAGCAATGGCATATATAACAGAATGCCATCATTTCAGTAACCCTGCGACACAAATGTATTCTCATTTTGTGTTTAAGCCTGAGAAGCTAACATCCTAATCAAAAAAATCATAACTAATTAGTTATGAGGAATAATCAAGTTTTCAAAAATGCTCTGCTTCAAAGAAAACATTTAATATAATTTACAATATATAAACTTGGAAAATAACTGATATTATATAGGGTATAAACTATGTAAAAGTTTTCTAATGATTATCAATATTTAAACAAGACTGTATATGAGCTGCCAAGTGGGTCCTGGGAATTGAAACCAGGTACCCTGGAAGAGAGCAGCCAGTGTTTTTTAACTGTTGTCCTATCTCAAGCTCCAAAGAGTTATTATTTAAAGGCTTACATGTTTAAATGTTGAAGTGATCCTAGTAAGAAGTGTTAAGTCTGACACCATATTAATAGGCTAATATAAAAAGCACAAATGTAGCAAGTGTGTCATGTTAAATGTACAATTTTGTGAGAATATGCATACACTGAACAACTGTAGAACTGTTATACACAGATGTATCTGGAATTTCTATTGTCTATGATTCTTTAC